AAAAACATCCAATCACTTTACCTAGATGAAAATAAACTACATAGATATGCTAAGAAAGAAAACGAGGCTAAGCTGATTCTCAGCAGAAATCATACATACACAGCAATGAAAGAAAAAAATTGTCAACCAGAATCATATACCCGCAAAAATGTCCTTCAAATACTAAGGCAAAATTTGGACATTTCCAGATAATCAGAATTAAAGGAATTTGTAAATGACCAGATCAACTTTACAAAAAATACTAAAGGGTGTTCTTTGGACTGAGAACCAATAACAGACAACACCACCATACATGACAACACCACCCAGAATTCAATCTAGGTATTTGTTGTTAAGAGCTTTCAAGTTGGTTCCAACTTACAGCGACCCTGTATAGGGTTCTAAGGAGTGGCTAGTGAGTTTGAACCGCTGACCTTGCAATTCAAACTGACCTTACGGTCCAGCGCATTATCCTACAGCACAACACCAAGTCTCAGGGGGATACTTGTGGTTGTTATTAAGTGTTATGTCAGTTTCCACCCATAGTGACTCTGTATAAGGTTTCTGAGGAGCAGGTGATGGGTTTTTTGAACTGCCGACCTTGTGGTCTGCAGTCCAGTGCTCATCCTACAGTACCACACCAGGAATATGGACATAAAAATACATATACAAACAAGTTTAGTGAAATAGGGTTTGATCCTTGTGTGGCAGTGTGATCCACATGGTCAGCGGTTCAAACTCACCAACTGTTCCTCAGAAACCATACAGGGTCAGAAATGACTTGAAGGCACTTAACAACAACAACATTGCACAAAACTGGAAATAACCTAAATGTCCACCCATCTGTAGAAGAATTAATAAAGCATGTTTTACAAGACAATACAGCAATTAGATGAATTTGATCAACATATCAACATTATTTTTAAATTTGCTGAGTGAAAAAGATGTAGACAAAGAAGGTGTTTTTAAGGGCAGTCAAGTTTGGTTCCAACTCATAGCTATTCTGAACAGGATTTCATACTAATGGCTAGTGAATCTGAACTGCAAAGCTTGTGATTAGCAGACCAGTGCTTAACCTACAGTGCCACACCAAGACTCCCTGATACAGAAACAGAAGATTTATTATTTAAGTAAAATTTAAAAACAAACATACAGTGTAACAAGATGGAAGAAGCATATTAAATTCAAAATATTTTCTACCTCTAGAGAGGAAAGGAAGGGACACAAGGGGGCTTCAAACATATTTATGATGTTTCACCATTAACAAAGAAAGAAAAATGTGGAGGTGGAGGGGGGACCTAGTAATGCCCTATTCGTTCACTCAAGTATTTTTTTACAAGTGGGATATGATATGCTTAGGAAATTGTAGTCTCTCTCATATAGTTTACATGAAAGGAAAATTCAGTAAGAACTAACACCAAAACAGACATTTAAAAAGAAAGATAAATCAGTAAGGGCATAAAAAGTATACAGTAAAGGAAGAATATTGCCTCAGTGAAAAATAATTATACATATTATCAGTTTTGGTTTCAACTATCCTGTAAGAAAATCTTACAAATAGATCTCTAGAATAAAAGTCGAGGAGCTCAGAGAACACAATGAATTTCCAAAGACTAAACAACGAGATGGGCTCCCGGTGTGGCGCTGTTGGATCAGCACTGGACTATGAACCAAAAGGTCAGCGGTTCAGAGCCACCAGCTGCTCCTCAGACACACTATACTGGGTCACTAAGATTCAGAACCAAGCTGACAGCACTTAACAACAACAACAAGCAGTAAGATCAGGGTTAAATGATCCACAACACCTTTTAATGGAAAGAGAATAGAGTTTTGAAATAAAAACTATAGTAAATGAAAAGAAATTTATTATCCGATACACACCAAACCTCTGGTAGCGTAGTGGTTACAAATCGGGCTGCGAACCTCCAGGTCAGCAGTTCGAAACTACCAGCTGTTCTGTGGGAGAAAGATGAGGCTTTCTGTTCCCATAAAGATTTACAGCTTCAGAAACCCTGTACAGGGTCATTATGAGTGATAGAGAGAAACACTGTTGACTGATGATGTATGGAGGGGATTGTAATCAATGTAATGCAACAAGTCATACAAATGGTTGAATGTGAAACC